CCAGTTTACTTTTTTATTTTGGTCCAAAATAAGTGTCCAGTTATGTAATCAAGAAAAAATTCAATTTATTTTTACTCTTTTACCCTTATGTGCATATCCCTAAAAAGTTTTCTCACTCCTCACTATAACTATGTGACCAATATTAAATAAGGGTAGTTTAGTCATACTAGGTATTTTTTATATAGGATTTAGTATTTTCTTAATGGGCGTGCTAAAAGGAAACCGGTCACTTATTGTGAACTGGAGGGAGTACTTTATAAGTACTTGAAGTGTTTAACCGGAAATAGGCTCCGTTGAGATGTTTGGTTGATCGTTTGGGACAGCTTAAAGGGGTGCTTTATGTATTTCGCCTTTTTTTTCAAAAGTTATTCTCAAATTCATTTAAGAAGACACAAACATGGTATATACAAAATATATATTATGATTAATATACAACTAGATTTTATATTTTGTTATTAAAGACACGGCTCTATTGAATAGACTATATTAATATTCACCATTTTTAGGAACTTATATATTTTTTTTTTGATATATATGTTCAATAACTCCAACACATTCTTTAATAATATTTACGTAATTTTTAAAATTGTATGTCTATGGATATAGATACACGCGCAAAGCACGTACCCTAAATCTAGTTTATAAAAAGCAGCAGTGTGCTTTAAATTTCTTGTTACGGAACTATTTTTGTCAAAAAAAAATTTTTAACGGGATCAAAATATGAATAATGGCACCAAAGAATCCTATTTATGCAAAGCTTCCTAACATGATTGGTGGGCTTGAATCCTGATTAATATATGGGAAATTATTACAAAGCACTATCTTTTAGTGGTAATTAGCTATTTATAAATACCATTTGTTATATTACGGATTGTAGATACGTTTTATGTTGTTATAAGATGTATTAGATGTATTTAAGCTACTGTATTCATGGGCGTGAAACATGGGATTACAGCTGGACAGATTATTGTATTCGACTGTATTCACGACGTGAAATAAGGGATTACACTGTTTTTAAACGGAAAGTGAATCAATTAACATAATAGACTCCTAATATAATTCAACAAACTCAATTATAACACACAAAATTTGTATTTCCTTGTATAAAAAAGATTCTCAACCGAAAAATACCCAAAAACATAGCAATCTTCCGAGAAATTATATAATATATCTGAATACATAAATTATATTAATTAAAAAAAACATATAAATATATTCATGGCATATAGCGAGACAATGACTACAATAAAATACATAGAATACAGCGGGATACATTGAAATACAATGAAAAAAAAGACAGTAAATACAATAAAATGCATGAAATACACAGATACATTGAATTACAATGAAAAAAGACAATGAATACAATGAAATACATGAAAATACAGCGTGATACTTTGAAAATACATTGAAAAGGAGAGGAGATTTTTGGGTATGATTGAGTCAAGTTCCATTGATTTTGGACCTAGACTGCCGTTTGAAACGGTGTTGCACCGTAAACTTTATGAATCTTGTACTAGCTATTTGTGCTGGTCGATAATGGGGTTCTTGCCCTGTTTTGGCGTTTGTTATGTCCAGGCGTGTGACAGGGGTTTTTTGGGGTAGGAAGCGGCTGGTTGCTGTGGCTGGAGATGGGGTGTTCTGGCCGCTGGTGTTGTTGGTGGAAGAGGGTGGACGACTGGAGGCTTGGGAGTGAAGATGAGAAGGAGTTTGGGTGGCTTAGGCTTAGAGGTTCTGGGGGGGGGGGGGTCACTGGCTCTTGGATTTTCCGGCGACTGATGGCTGGCGGCGCTGAGCAGTTGGTGGACTGGCGGCGGCTGCTTAGGGGCGTTGGATGCTGCTGGTTTTTGGGGTTCTCATGGTCTAGGGTGTGTGGAAGAAGTAGAAGGGGTCGCTGGTTATGAGATCGGCGAGCTGAGCCCTCAGTCGTGTTTTCAGAGAATGGGGAAGAGAATGGCATGTATCAAAGTAGAGAGAGAGAAAGAAAATAGTGTAACTGAATAGCGTATTTAGTGGCTTAGAGGTAGGAGGTAACCAAAATTAGATATGTTGCTATAAACATTAAAAGGTATCTATAGAATATAATTTTTTTAAATGATATTTATTTAAAATAAATAAGGTGTTAACCTTTGCTATAGGAGGTAAAAATTCTTTAATATATTTGGGCTGTTGGGCCTCAAATTGTTCTCCAATCTTCTACCGCTTTTTTTTTTTTTTTGCCTTATTTTTGAAAAATAGCCACTATCCTGGAGTTTCAAAATCCACAAATGAAACTTGGGGATCCAGGACAGCGGCTATATTTCAATCACAGAGGTTTATAAGTGGCTATTAAATACTCCCTTCATTTCAATTTACGTGAACCCATTTGACTGGGCACGAAGTTTAAGAAAACAAGAAGACTTTTGAACTTGTGTGTTAAATGAAGCACATATATTTTGTGTGGCTGTAAATCATTGCATAAAGGTAAATTGTTTCCAAATGGGAAAGAGGTCATCTTTTTTGCTACGGCTAAAAANAATTAATTAAAATTATCTCCAGTAGAAGGCAACGTGAGATTATATCTGTAAAAAAATCTATCTTAATAAAGCTTTATTCTATTACGTCATACAAAACTCGACAACAGGGATAATGTCTGTTTAAACTATATTTTTACAACGAAATTTTTTTAGTTTACTTACTGATTGTCTTTTGTCCTACCTATGATCTAACGAATAATCATTACTATTATTTTTATATTACATAATCATTATTCTCATCTATCTTTAAAATTTTGATGACGCTCGCCGAATTATAATAATGCAAACTTCTTATTAGCCCCTAGTTGTTGGCATGCTGATTTTATGTATATCCATTTTAATACGGTTTGATTGCCTGGAAATAGGAAAAATAGTTTTTTTTTTTCGTTTTTTAAATTTTTCTTTATGGACATTTTGTGCAAGAAACGCCTCCAATCAAGCGTTGTGAAAAGTTTAGGGAATCTAAAACAATTTTTTTTAGTTTTCTTTTCCTTTCTTACAAATGTATAAAAAGAGTATACGTTCTTAATTTACTACAGAAAATTTCAAGAAATAGACAAATGAAACTTGGGGATCCAGGACAGCGGCTATATTTCAATCACAGAGGTTTATAAGTGGCTATTAAATACTCCCTTCATTTCAATTTACGTGAACCCATTTGACTGGGCACGAAGTTTAAGAAAACAAGAAGACTTTTGAACTTGTGTGTTAAATGAAGCACATATATTTTGTGTGGCTGTAAATCATTGCATAAAGGTAAATTGTTTCCAAATAGGGAAAGAGGTCATTCTTTTTTGCACGGACTAAAAAGGAAATAGGTTCACATAAATTAAAACGGAGGGAGTATTATATTAAAAAACATTGAATTGCAGATATTGCGAACATGTAGTAGCTTTTTCGCCTAAATCAGTCAGTTTCTATGATATCTTTGTTGTAAGCAAATGTCAGTCTTATGATAATTCATGTATTATATTCTTATTTTTTAGTTATTTCTTCTTCTTCTTTCCCTTCTCATATTTCTGCGTCTATTTGGTAAAATGAATCCTCTTACGTGGGAGAGTGTATGTTAATGGCTAAGAGTCCGTTTAGTCAAGCTGCCAAAAATTATTTACTTTAAAAAGCGCTTTTATTCAAAAGTGCTTTATGAAAAAGTACTTTTGCAAAATAAGTAGTTTGTGTTTGGCCGATTCGTTTGAGTAGTGTTTTTTTTTTTTGGTAACAATGTGAATTACCATTAACTTCAAACATCATATACACTTATAGAGCACCTGATTTTCAGAATAGAAATTAGGCCTCCAACAAACAACAAAAAAAAACTAGTTACAAGTAAGTAGTCGTATGAACTCCCTACATTTCTGAGCTTTCCTAAAAATATATAGTAAATCTATTCTTTCTAACACTTCTCGTTTGATTTGTACAACTATCTCGTCTGTTTTTATAATCCTACTCTGAAATTTTTTTGTGTTTCTAGCTCTCCATGTATAGTATATCCTTGCTAAGTGTACTGCAGCTATGACCTCTTTCCTGAATTGCTTCCAGTGCTTGTTTTTGATCTGCTCCAGCATTTGCCTCACTCCTGTATTTTGTTCATCATGCCTTGTCCATCTGCTCAGTTCATGTTTTACTGCTCTTGTCCATTCACATTGTAAAAATAAATGCCCCTGAGTTTCCATTACATCTTCATTACACAACATGCACTTGACATTATCAACCCGTATATTCATTCCAACCATTCTATCCTTTGTCAACAATTTTCCTAGTGTTGCCAACCATCCTATGAACCTGTGTTTTGGTTGAGCTACTGCTGACCATATCAAATCAGCAAGCTTCATTTTTTGTTGTTTCCCAATTAGTGCCATATAACTTGAATTTATAGAGTACTCCCCAGTAAGGTTGAGAACATATTTGCCCTGTGAGAACCACTCTCTCATCAATTCTTTGACTGCATTTAATTTTCTCCAGTACCAGCTGCTATCTGTTGGTGGAGAGTGAGTCCATATGTCTGAATTGGTCTTCATGTACACTCCATGAACCCACCTTACCCATAAAGATTCCTTGTTAAGTGCCAACTGCCATATCAATTTCCCAACTGAGGCTATGTTCCATTCACTGAATCCCTTGATGTTTAGCCCACCCATATTTTTTGGACAACAGACTTTCTCCCATGCCACCAAAGCCACCTTCCTCATTTCTTCCTTTTTTCCCCCACAGTTATTCTCTGCATAATCTATCTACTCCTTTCACTACACTTTGAGGAAGGATGAAGACATTACCCCAGAAGCTATGAATTGAGAATAGCACGGCATTCACAACTTGGAGCCTTCCAGCATAGGATAATTGTTTGGAGTAGGTAACATTGATTCTTTGTGTAATTTTCCCAATAAGCATCTGACAATTCATCTTGTTCCATCTCCTAGGTGATAGTGGCAATCCTAGGTATTTGATAGGAAATTCTCCCTCTGTGAACTTAGTTCTTCTCAGCAGCTATTGTTTAAGTTCATCTTCTACTCCAGCTATAAAGATGTTTGATTTCTCCATGTTATCAACCAACCCTGTCACTCTACTGAAATGATCTAGTGCCTCCACCACTCTATTTACTGAGCTGATATTACCTTTGCAGAATATCATCAAATCATCAGCAAAAATCATATGAGTCAACTTGCTATTCTTGCACATAGGGTGGAATCTGAAGTCTGGTAGCCTGCTTATAGTACTCAGTGTTCTTTATAAGTACTCCATGACTAGGAAAAATAACAATGGTGACATTGGGTCACCTTGCCTCAGTCCTCTCTTGCCTTCAAAGTAACCATGTAAATCCTTCCCCATTTACTTTGACTGTGAACTTTGCAGTAGAGACACAAGTCATTGTCCACTGTATGAATCTGTCTGGAAAGCCATATTCTCTCATTGCTTCCTCTAGAAACTCCCAGCTCACCATATCATAGGCCTTTCTTAGGTCAATCTTCATTAGGCACCTTGGTGTAGTTTTCCTGTTATAATGTCTCAAAAGGCCATGGCATATTAAAACATTGTGCATCATTGATCTACCTTGTACAAATGCTGATTGGTTTTCTGCAACTATGTGGTTGACTACAGATTTTAATCTAGAACACAGCATCTTTGATATGCATTTGTATAACACAGTGCAGCATGCTATAGGTCTGAACTGGCTTGCATTCTCAGGAGCCTCCACCTTAGGAATCAGTGCAATATTTGTAGAGTTGATTTGTCTCAGCAATTTCCCATTATGAAAAAACTCTAGTACTACTTCTGTTAGTTCATTTCCACTATTGACCATGCAGCTTTGAAAAATCCACTCCTATATCCATCTGGACCAGGACTTTTATTGCTGTCAATTTGAAACATGGCTTGCTTCACTTCCTTCCTCACAAATGGTTGTATTAATTCCTCTTGTTGATTGCCTGTTAGTCTGCTTCCATTCCTGATTATACTCCTGAAAGTCTTCACTCTATCAGTTGATGTTCTTCCTAGTAAGCTTTCATAATATTCAACAAATGTATCTGCTATTTTGTCTGGATCTGTTTTCCAGTTCTCTGTACTATCTTTTATCTGTGTGATTGCCTGCTTCAGTTTCCTGTGCTTGATTACTGAGTGAAAGTACTTGGTATTGTCATCTCCCAATCTTATCCATGTGGCTTTACTCCTTTGTTGTAAGTACTCTTCAGCTAAATAAGAAGATTCCCTGAATTTCTTATATGTTGCAGCTTCAACTTGTTGGTACTCCACTTTTGTTGGATCCCTCTGCAATTGTTCTTGTGCCATCTTTAGCCTTTCTCTAGCTTCATTTGTTTCTGTCATTATATTGTTGAATGCCTGTGTATTTAAAGCTCTAAGTCCCTTCTTTAACATCTTCAGTTTTTTAACTACCTTGAACATTGTACACCCTTCCATACTTATCCCCCAACCTTCTCTAACTACCTTCAAGAAATTTGTATGCTTTGCCCAATTGTTGCAGTACTGAAAAGCCTTCTTTGTTCTTTGCCTTTCTTCTACCATGTACACCTTAGCAGGACAGTGATCACTTATACCTTCATTCAAAAACCTTGCAGCACATTCTGGCATGGTATTGAGCCACTGATTATTTATAAAGATCCAATAGTGCTTTTTGCAAGCTGTATTTGGCCAATTTTTTAAAAAAACACTTTTAAATATCAAATTACGAAAAAGGAGAGTAAATGTTCAATTTGCGATTACTATTATTTAGAAAAGAAAAATAAATTTAAACATTTTTTAGAAAAGAATTCCATTAAAATATAAAATGTAAAGTAAAAATATAAATTATTAATATAATATAGTTATTCCAAAATAATAATATTAAGTGTTTAGTATTACTTATTATTTACATGATAATTTAAATATGTCAAAATACATCATTCAATATAAATATAAAATGTACTCTTAGGAATAGGAGAAAGAGAATAAAAATGTAATTAAAATAAAAAAGAGAATAAATGTATAGCAGAAATAAAAAATAAAATAAAAAGGAAAAGAAAAAGGAAAAGGAAAAGAAAAATTAAATTAATGAGGGATAATTTAAAAAATATAAATTTATTATAAGATTATTTTTGTCTTGAATAAATTAACTTTCTGCATCTGCTTTTTGGAAGAAGCTAGAATTTTTAGCTTCTCCCCAAAAGCAGAAAAACTGCTTCTGCTGCTGCTCAAAAGTACTTTTTCATTTGGCGAAATACATAAACGGCCCCTTCAAGTTGTCCTCAACGGTCAGCCAGACACCTCAACTGACCCATTTATCATTTTAACACTTCTTCTCCACTAAAGTATGACCTCGTGAACACGCTGACATGGCAAAGTGTGTGCTTTACACTTAATTCTAAGCGCGTAAAACCCTCAAAATTAAGGTTTTTTTTTATTTAACTTTATTTTGTATGGGTCCCATTATATTTTATTTTCCAAACATTAATTTCACTTTCTTCCCAAAATATTCCATCTTCACCAAACTTCTTCCTTCCATCATTAATCCACCCCCTCCGACATAAGCCTCCAAATAGTTACAATGAACGTAGGATTCCCAACAATGAGAAGATATCAAAAAAGGATTTGGAGATTAACATAGCAGAAGGTGAAATCCCAAGAAACAACGTCATCGTGAAACCACCATTGAAACCAGCCACTAAAACTCCAACCAAGCTACTGAAAATCACCAAAAACTGCCCCTTTCATCACAAAATTCCACTGCCCATAACCTCCAGAGCTTCGCCTAATTCCTTCAAGCCAAAACTAGTTCCAAATGCTAAAATTATAAATGCTGCAGAATTAATTGGAGAAAGCATTGAGACAAAGATGAAGGATGAGGAATCGATCCTAAATGGGGAGTTTATAAAAGAGTTGTACCCCACAGATCGGAAGCGACCTTTTTCAGTTGCTGGATCGCCAAAGCATGACTTATATGCTGCTGATTTTGGTTGATTCCAGTAGAATCGTTACGCTCAGATTTGCTCGGAGATTAATTTTCCGGCGAGAGAGGAGTTGCGCTGGTTTGAAGGAAGGTGGATTTGAAGGAAGAAGATGAAGGGGGTGGGGTGGCACTGGTTTTGGGCGGAAGAAGAAGATGATGTTGGTTGGGGGAGAGGGGGGGGGAGAAGGGGGTGGCACTGGTTTCGGGCGAAAAAGAGATGATGTTGGTTGGGGAGAGGTGGGGGGGGGGGTAGGGAGTGGGGTTGGCACTGGTTTTGGGCGGAAGGAGAAGATGAAGTTGGTTGGGGGGGGGAGGGTTTGCGCTGTTTGGGCTTTTTTTTTATTTCTTAAATGAATTTTCATTTTTTGTTTATTATATGTGTCAAATTTCTATTTACAAATTACATGTGTCATTCATTAATTGGCTCATTTGACACGTCATTAGTGAGTGCAATTCACGTATATGATCTGTTGCACTCGAGTGTTTATTTGATCTGGTTAATGGACACTTGAAGTGTCTAAAAGGTAAAGAGTTTAGTTGAGGTGTTTGTCTGGTCGTTGTGGACAACTTTGAGGGGCCGTTTATGTATTTCGCCTTTTTATTTTGGCCAAATACCTTAAATTTTTCAAAAAGTACTTTTTTGACCAAAAAAGTAATTTTGGCCTCCTAGAAGCTTGGCCATACAGGCTCTAAATGAGCTTAATTGCTTTGATTTCTAAGCCTAAAATTAATTTATGTTAAATCTTCACAGTTGAACAAAAGTTATTGGCACCCAATTCGAGACAACTTACATTTAAAATATATCCATTGGTCGGAGCCGGAACCAAAGAATAGTTCTTTTGGACTCAAAATACTTTTTTAGGTGAAAAAAAACATAGTTATCAAAATATATAAAACGCGGTTATGAACCATATTTTACCTTAACGGCCGTTGGGACCTTAAGGTAAAGCGCGGTTTGTTACTGCGTTTCATATAAAACGCGTTAATGAATCGCGCTTTACCTGGAAGCTGATAAGACGACTATATAAAGCGAGGTTCATTACTGCGTTTTATATAAAACGCAGTAATAAACTGCGCTTTACATATATAAATAATCGTCCCCTTCCCTTTCCCCCACGTTCTGCACAGAATCCCTTCCCCCCTTTGTTTAAAAAATTCCAGCGGTCCACCCTCCCCTTCATTAACAACCCCAAAAGCTCGTTGGACCCCACCCGTCCCGTAAAAGGTAGATATTGTTGGTCCCACATCCTAGCCAAGCCTTCTATTGTTGTGGGTTGCTTATTTCTGAGTCAAATTTTCAAATCTTCAACTTTCCAAAAAACATAAATCGAGGTATTCTGATTTAGTTTATGTCCAAACTCGTACAAAAAATGCACATTAGTTGTTTTCAATATGTTGTATATTGTATTGTATTTTTTTTTGCGATTAAATTGGTATGTTATTTTTATCCGGACTAAGATATTAATGTTGTAAAAAAAATATGTAAAAATTGTGAAATCATTATTATTTGTTAATGAAAATGTTAATAAATTACTATTACTGTTTTATATGTATTTTTGTGAATGTTTTGTGATTACAATGTATTTGTTGTGTTTTGTCTGGTTTATATTATTTATTTGCTTAAAGACTAGTAATATAGTGTCCTTTTAGGGTAGTAAAATATAATACCTTTTAGCGTAGTAAAATGTAGTGCCTTTTAGCGTAGTAAAATGTAGTGCCTTTTAGCGTAGTTTTTCTGTAGTTTAAGTATCTCTTATACTCAAAAATACATCAAAATAACTGATAGAAACTCTGTCCAATTATAGTCAACATATAATTGGTGCTACTGGACCGTAAATATCGAGCCTGGAACCCATATATGAATATTTAATAATTAAATATTGTATAATTATAAAAAATAATTATTTAATTTACAAACAAACATATAAAATTATAAAACTAACATGTAAAATAATAAAACTAAAAAAATAGAAGAATTTAGGATAATTGGTGCTATTGGGCTCCAAATATCGAGCCTGGAACCGATATGTGAATATTTAATTATAAAAATTAATTATTTAATTTACAAACTAACATACAAAATTATAATAAACCTAACACATGCAAGAATTCAGGATATCTTGGTGCTACTGGGCCGCAATATGGAGCCTGGAACCCATATATGAATATTTAATTATAAAATATAATTATTTAATTTACAAACTAACATGTAAAATAATAAACTAACACATAGAAGAAATTAGGATAAATTGGTGCTACTAGGCTCCAAATATCGAGCCTGAAACCCATATGTGAATATTTATTTATAAAAATTTATTATTTAATTTACAAACTAACATATAAAATTATAAAACTAACACATAGAAGAATTCAGGATAAATTGGTGCTACTGGGCTCCAAATATCGAGCCTAAAACCCATGTGTGAATATTTATTTATAAAAGTAAATTATTTAATTCACAACCTAACATATAAAATTATAAAACTAACATGTAGAAGAATTCATGATAAATTGGTGCTACTGGGCTCCAAATATCGAGCCTAGAACCCATATGTGAATTTCTAATAATTAAATATTGTATAATTATAAAATTTAATTATTAATTTACAAACTAACATATATAATTATAAAACTAACATGTAATTAATGTTGTTATTTACAGTAGACGACATGGAGGCGCC